CTTAATCTGGGTTGGCATCTGTGGTCATTTAACACTGGGAATACTTTGGTCCAGGCTCTTCTGGCTTTCATAGTTTGCATTGAAAAGTCTGCTGTAATCCTGATGGGTTTTCCTTTATGTGATTTGTTGTTTTTCTTTTGCAGCTTTCCATACTGTCTCCTTCTTCTGAACATTTAGTGTTTTTTCTATGATGTGCTATGGAAAGTTTCTTTTCTGGTCCTGTCTATTTGGTGTTCTATATGTTTCTTGTATTTGTATGGGCATGTCTTTTTTTAATTTTGGGAAATCTTCTACACTCTTGTTGAAGATCTGTTCTGTACCATTATCTAGAGATTCTTCTTCCTCTATGCCTATGATTCATAAGTTTTGTTTTTTTATGGTGTTACACAATTCTTCCATATTCCTTTCCTGGTTGTTTGTTTTTTTAATTTTTCATAGTCTTTGCTTGAGTGGTCTAATTTTTCCACTTTATTTTCCAGTCTTGATATTCTGTTTTCCACTTCATTCATCCTATTGGTGAGGCTTTCTCCTGTAGTTTCTAATTTGCTTACTGTGTGTTTCACTTCCTTCTTCATTTTAGCCTGAGTATTCTTCAATATTTCTAACTCTTCTGAATTCATTTAGAAGTTTTTCTCTATCTTCCTTCAGTTGTTTGATTTCTTTCTTTGTGTTCTTTAAATTCACTAAATTCTTTTATCATGTTTATAATTGTTCTTTTGAGTTCCATGTCCTGTGTTATCTCTAGGGAGTTCTCACTGTACTCCTCTAGAGGACTATTGGTACTTGGTGGGACTATGTTATTTTGGTTTTTCATGGTATTATTTTTTTCTTTATGACTTTGACATATGAATTTCCGTCATAGTTTCTGATTCTTGTGTGAGACTCAAACCTTCCTTTGTTGAGTGTAGATCTGCTTCTTTTTGTAAACTTTATGTGCCTTTGTGGTTTAACTGTTGGGCTTGAAAAGCTAGTTGGTCTAGGCTTCAGGTTCTCTCTTTTTATTTTATATTGGATTGGCCAGATTGCTTTTGTCTTCAGGAGTTCCCACAGAGGCCCAAGTGAGATGAGGCTCAGATGATATCAGGCTTTCTCCTAAGGTATGGGTCCCTCCAGGAAAGATTCTGCCCTCAATAATTTGGGCGCTGGGCTGGCCTTGGAAAAAGGCCCAGGATAGATGCTGGTCTCAGGAAGTTGGTGGCTCTGCCACCCAGGGAAGTAAAGCGAGGTGAGGGCAGGACCAGTCCTAGAGGGTTCCTGGGGGCCACAGGGAGAAAATGGGTTGGTCCTGATGCAAAGGATCAGGAAGCAGTGGCAGCTCTTGCCCAAGAGGTGAGCCCCAGTGTCTGGGGTGGGTGCCAAGACAAGAAGTGGGCCTGTACCCAGCCTAGGAGGAGAGAGTTGGTGGGGGGGGAGCTGGGAGGGTGAAAGAGGCTTGGGGAGTCAAGGTTCACTGGGAACACTGGACTTACCCAGGGTAAGTCCTGGGACCAGGACATCGAAGACTGTGCAGCCCAGGGAAGTAAAGAGAGGTGAGCTACCTTTTTTTTTTAATGATTAGAAATGGAAATTATCCATTTCCTTAGTAAAATATAGATATTGCTTAATTGTTTTTATCCTGGATAATTGTACTATATAGGACAACTTAGATGCTCATTTAATCAAAGAACATGAGTACTTAAACTATAATAAAATAACACGAAATTTTCAATAGTTTTTTTTTAACTTTTACAAAAACTTTATTGAGAAATTTCATACATGTATATAAGGTATTTTGATCAAATCCATGCCCACTCCATCCCTTCCAACACCTCCTATATTTCCCCATAAGTTTTTTCTTTTTCTTTTCTTTTTCTTTTCTTCTTTCATTTATTTATTTTTATGGGGCTTTTGGGTACCCTAACATTCCCCCCTCTGAAGAGGTAACCCTAAAATCTTTTAAGAATTAGATACAAGCTCCAAAATACTTTAGACATTTTGGCCTTTGGCACAGAGTAGGTTGCTAACAGTCCCAAGGACATTTTGACTTTTAGCCAAGAAACTGGTTACTTTTCATTGGGGTCTTTTCACCCTAACTTCCTAGTGAATTCCTACCTCCTATTCTTATCACGCCATCCTCTGAAGGGGTTACCCAAATTGCCAATAGGGAATAAGGACACAGACCACTCTGGCTTCTTCCATGATGAACAGGGATGCAGGGTGAGGCAATTGGAGTACCCCTTCAGAGGGTCTATCTAAAAGGCTCCCAAATTGCATAGCTCTTATCTCTTAAGGGAGAAGAATGTCCTAGAATCATGAATACGAGATGTGAAGGAGAAGTAAAGGCAAGAGTAATTAGCACTACAAGTTCTAGACAGGGAACTAGAAAAAAAGTCAGAACAGGGCAATTTTCAAATGTTCATATGAGAGTCCATTGGAATTTCTTGACAAGGGCTTCAAAAAGCATCCCTCTATTGGGTTCTTCCTCATTTTTCTTTTGTCTTCCAAGGCTGGACTGTAGAGTGATGGATTCAGAATTTAGTTATGGGTATTTTGATAGCTGTTGGAGTGGTTAGAATCAGTGTCCGTTCCCTCTCAATGGCTTCTAAATAGGGGGAGAAAACAATTTTTTTAAGTTGGAATAAATAAATTAAAATAAATCACATATTTTTAAAAAAATCATGAATATTTTGTTATTAGAGTGATGTCTTGTATAATTTGAATAAGAAGAATTAACCCAAATCTTTGAGTATTTCTATCTAGAGAAAATAATGTTGTAGTTACTTGTTAAACATTGGAGTACATTTTAGGGACCTTTTAGTCTAATTCATTGAATTTGGTTAAAAATATGTGTGTGTGTGTGTGTGTGTGTGTGTGTATAATGTATATAATACAAAAATATATATAATATGTACATACACAAATTTGAATTTGAAAACTGGGCTTTTTATCCAAATTATACTGAATAATTAGGAAAGTATATATTTTTACAAAGAGTAAAAGCACTTAAGTCTTTTAAACATGAAAACTAGTTAAGTAAGGTAGGGGTTCTGGGTAAGCATTTATAACTTAATTTAAACCAAATTTAGCATTGTTTCATCATTTAGGACTATACTAAGTGAATTATTAGATATTAGGAACCATTTAAAATAGCTAAGTATAAAAGAGTTTAAGGAACAAAAAATTGGGAGAAATGTTCAGTTACTTGGAGGTACTTAGTTGTCAATTAATTGAAGATGAGTTCCATCCAGTATCTCTGAAGTCCACATGAATGAGTCCTTTAGATGAAGTTGGTACATGAAACTCTTAAAGTTCACAGCTTTGAATTTTGTAGTACAGAAGTAGGTTAGAAGTATATGGATACAGTCTTTACTCCTCAATTTAATGGGGTGTTTTATGTGATGGTTCTTTTTACAGTTGATGAAATCCTCCAAATTGCTTTATCCTTTAAGGAATATTCTGCAACTAATTTTGAATTTTTAGTACTTATATTTAAAAGTCCTTGTTTTTCTAAGCAAATTAACATTTAAGAAAACTTTTTGTTGTTGTAACTAATATTAAAGCATTAATTTTGTCTCAGGGTATTGAATTTTGACCTGAAAACTTTAATAATACATATATTATAACAAGCTTAATTATAATCCTACTTTC